GCACTTGGTAATATTTATTTGCCTTGCGGCAGTAGTTAATAATTAATAAATCAAGATATGTTCTAATGTTTTGCTGGCTCTATACGTTTTGTCTTGTTTGTTTACTCGATTTTTGTGATGTATCAAAACTAAATTTTAGCTATATTTTATTTATATTTTAAATATATTTAGCAAAATTATAAGTTTTTGTAAAGTAATCTCAAAATTCAAAACTGCTGTTTTTCTTAGTCCATTCCTTATATGGACAGATCTTTTGCAGAATACTAGTGGGAACATTCAATTTTAATCATCCGCCTTTAAGAAAAATCATTCCAATTATACATTTGTGATAAAAGATTATTATATCTCCTGAAAAAATGGACAAAGCAGATAATAAAGACTGTACTGATAAAATTGCTTACAATTTGGATAAGCTTGAAAAGCCTTGTATAATTTTGATAATACAATACCCAGATTTTAAAAGTAGATTTTACAAAACTAGTACTCCGCAAAATCAAATCAAATTTTGAAGTTGAGTCAAGTATTTGAAATTATTTGATCAAATTAATTAAGAATTTGACCAAATAATTTCAAATATTTGACTCAAAATTTGAGTTGATTTTGGAGTACTATATGAAACTTCAGCTGATAACGCGTTGAAGTTGAGCAATTGTATGTATAACCTACTTGCTGAAAAGAATGATATTTTGATCATATACTTGGGCCGAAACCTGTGTATGTCATTGGGCCAGCTTTAACAAATATTTTTCCTTTCCTTTCATTACCTGTTTGGTAACAAGCCATTTAAAACCATCCAACTCGCAAAACTTTTTAATTATGAATTTATAGTAAGAAGTCAAATGATTGGATTAATGGATGGAATGATACATCAAAAGACAGTATTACTATTAGTGATGGAGATGGCAATGATGGCAGTAAAAAGTTACCAAAGTTTTTTCTATGACAGAGCCAGAAATTAAGTTCAAAAAATTACTGTATATTCAGGAATGTACTATCTATATTAAGTTCACAATGAAATATCCAAAGTTTACTATTAACATTGATGTAGCTGAATGTGAAACAGATCGTATGCTTAGAGTAATGCTTAGCAGCAGTTGAGTCAACTTGTAATGAAGATTATGTTTTTCCTTGAATCTCTTAAAATTGAGATTATTCCGATTGCTATTGAACGTTTAAATAATTTCGAAAAATAAGCTTGTGCAAAAATCAGTGAAGTACCAAAGGGCAAGAGTTCAGGTCAAACAAGTTAGTGTACTAAAACTACATCAAATAAATGAGAATTACAAGTGGCGGGTACTGGTGTTACTGGATATAGTTGGTTATATGAAAAAGAATCCGATATGCCAAAATTTAATTTTAAGCTGGGCTTCATAAGTGTGAAGGAATGATTGTAGGTGAAAAAATGTGTGGATTTCATACTGTATCATAGTTCCTCAAACATTACGCTTCAAGTTTGTGGGTATCTTGCATGGCATTCCAAAACTAAAGCTGATGGATAACTCTTGTTCTTATAAATTGACTTCAAAGATTTAACGAAAAATTCGAAAACTTAATCGTTATCGTAAGATTTAAATTAAATTGATTTTAAAGCACTTAAGTTGAAATTTCGACTCCTGTTATCGAATTGTGATGTATGTCCTATCGTATGATAATCATGATTAAAACATACAAAGAGAGTTCATTTTAATAATGCATGGACGCTATATATATAGTTATATACTAATTTACTAATCACAATATAAATATGTATATATGTCGTGCCTCAGACTAACGCTTGCTCAGATGTCAATCGGCCTAAGTTAGGATAGGGTTAGGGTAAGAATCTGGGAAGGATTTGGGCTTAATTTAGGTCAATCAATGTCGATCAGCTAATGCGGGCCAAAAAGTCGACATCTGACGCAAGCATTAATCTGAGGCGCAACATATATATTGAAAAAAAAAATGCAATAACTTGGTATTGGTTTCACCATTTCCGTGCTTTGCCACACGTTTGAACCTCGCGTGTATTTATTGTCACTAAGTTGACGTATTAGAATTTATTTTTGTTGCTTTTCTTATATGACGATTTGATGAACAATAAGATATCCTAAAGAAAGATGGATTTAGGCATAAAAGCGATAATCAAGAAAATTCGAATTAAAATTAATCTCTCCATCACCATGTGTAGATCAAGGTTAAGATTAAAGCTGTTACCCGGGTTGGCTTGACCCGTACGGGTCAGAATTTTGACGGTCACGGGTCAAAAACTGCCTTGACCCGGGTCAAACGGGTCAGTTAAATGAACAGAAAGATTGTAATAAACCCGTTTTTTCTGATGTAGAAAATGAATAAACTCGAATTACGAGCAAGGTTGAAAAGTTTTTCTTTGATACAAAACCCAAGATGTTCCGATTTAATGTTTATATCTCAAATATATACCAAGACTTAAAATATAAATCATCAAGCCTGACCTATGTGACTATTGACCCGGGTTATGACCCGGGTTGAAAATATTTAACCCGGGTCGCTATTTTTTGACCCGGGTCACAGCTCTAACCTATGGTATAGCAAAAACTAACATTATTATACACATAATAAAATTGTTATATAATAATTAATAAAGCGATAAATAGTGTAGTAAACATAATGTAATGAATATAATAAAGCTAGTTGAATATTTGAAAATTATATGAACTAAATAAGATAAATATGAAGATTCCAATATCCTAACGAAAACTTTTAATAATACATCATAAAAAGAAATAGTGCATTATAAGATGTAAAGCTTAGGTGCAAATTACAAAGTTTATTTTATAGAAACGCGTGCACACACAATGTATATCGTTGTCTAAAATTCCCACACTCTCCCATCTGGATTCGCGGGATGGAAACGGTGCCTATTGTTCCTCTTTCACTTCCTACATCGTTAGTTTCTCCACCTTCAGATATGTCACCACCGACACCATATATTATAGAATCTTTAATATCAGCACCAGTTGTTATGGGTTGTTGCACAACTTGGTCCTCCGCATTGCCTACTCCACCAGTGATGCGATCCAATAAATGCATTGTTCAAATATGCACTCAGATCTTTCACACTTTTACCAAAGAAAACGCAAAACACTTGTCTCTGATGAGCAGTAAATTTTTTAGGTGGCGGCCTACAAAAGCGTTGAATATCCCGGCGTAAAAACGCATGAATAGAGATTGTACCCGTCAAGAAAATCTCTACCCAGGTATTATTAAATTATCCGATTATCCGGGTAATTTATTATAATCATATAATAAAAATGTCTACCCGGGCACGATCTCTACGCATGAACACCAGTAAGAGATAAATGTGTCAATCGATAGCAAAAACCAATTAAATCTAACGCTGCGTTGATCGTAAGATTGACAAATACGACAAGTGCAGGGTATGCATTGCAACACGATTTTCAATTAGATAAAAAATGGGTTGATCAGTGATAAGTGCGCATTTCACTAATCCAATTCGACGCAGCTTTGGTAAGTTGGAGAGCTCAGAAACCGACACATCAGTAAGTTGAGTACAACATGTGTACAATGACAAACCAGGCGAGTTATTGAATGATGTGATAAAGATAGCAATGGCATAGGTGAAGATAGTACAAGTGTTTGGCCCAATTTAAAAAATTTCGCTAATCACGTGCTGGCCAATCAAAATTTTTTTCTTAACGCTAACAACTACGATAATAAATTTTTTTTTTTAAAAAAAACCGGCATTTAAAACTAATTTTTTTAATAAAAAAAAAATTCTTTATTTTTTTTATTAAAATTAATAATAGCTATTTTTCTTTTTTACAAAAAAAAACAGAAATAAAAAACTATTCTCTGTGACTTAATTAAAAATGCTTCTTGTGAAATTTTGTTAATAAAAACTTTTTTCTAACTCTAACCCTAATCCAACCTCAAACTACATTGTTGAATTTTTAGTAAAAATTATAGAAAAAACAATTTTTGTAGGTGTGCTACTTACCCTAATCCAACCTCAAACTACAATATTAAATCTTTGTAAAAATTATAAGAGATACAATTTTTGTAAATGCACTACCCAAGAAGTTAAGTAACATTTATCTAAAAAGAATCAAAAGAATATGAAGAAAGCATTATTAAAAAAACAACAAAAAGACTACTAAAAAAATAACAAAAAAGCTCTTCAAAAAATAAAAAAGTTACAAAGAAGTAATAAAAAAATACTAAAAAAGCATTGAAAAAATAACAAAAAATCATTAAAAAAATAATAAAAAAATGAAAAAGTGACAAATAATTGCAACAAGAAAGTGGAAAAAAAGTGTTGAAAAAAATATTAATCTAAAAAAAAAACACAAAAATATACAATCTACTTATATTAATATTAATTTTGTTAATATTAATCTAAACTATAAAATGAATTTTTATATATTAAAACTTCCTTATATATATTAAAAAAAATAAATTATCAAAAGAATAACTAAGAAACCGCTAAAAAAATAACAAAGAATAACAAAAAACTTTTAAAAAAATAACAAAAAAGCTATAAAGAAATAATAAACAAGTACCAAAAAACTACTAAAAAGTAATAAAAAAAGTGCTAAAAAAGTAACTAAAAAAAGAACAAAAAAGAAGTACTAAAAAATTATCAAAAAAAATTATCAAAAAAAAGTACTAAAAAAAGTCAAAAAAATAAAAAAATAAAACCTAATTTTAGTAATTAATTAGTTTATCATATAATTAGCAAAATTTTTGAATTAATAATACTAAAAGTTTTATATAATATACACTATTATCTATTATTTTTATATTTGGCTAAAATAAAATTATATAATTTAAATATGCTAAAAATAATTCTAAAAAGTATTTAATTAGTTATAAAAGTATATCCCTTAATTAGTAAAGATTTGCAGACAAATTTAGCTGCATAATTACTATAAATATGTCTCTGATCTACTTTTTTAATTATTTAAAATATTTAAATAAAATTTAATATAATAA